TAGTATATAATNTAGTTTTGTGTTAANGTGTTTCTCCTATGTCCATNTCTGTTAGCTTGTGTCGCGTCTTCTACTAGTGTGTTTGTTGGTGTCGNGTGNGTGTATGTCCTTATGATAGTATATATATATATGTGTGTGTGTGTGTGTGTGTCTATATGTCTGCGTTTATAATTATATTGATAAATTATATACATTTAAAATATATATATATATATATATATATATTTGTGTGTGCGTGTATGTATGTGTTCCTTTGTATATATATATATGTGTGTGTGTGTGTTTGTGTTTGTGTATCTATGTATGTATATTTTTGCATGTAGTTATGATGTGTATTTATCGATTTATGTTTAGGCATGTATCTATGTATGTATATATATATATGCATGTAGTTATGTATGTATTTTCATTTATACATATAAGAATACGTGTGTATCTATATATTTATCTACATATGTATGTTTTATATATATATACGTATAAGTATATGTACACGTTTATAGATATAAATACATATATATTTATATGTATATATATATGTGTGTGTGTATGTGTGTGTGTGTTTGTCTGCATATGGATATGTATGTACGTATTTTCGAATATTTAACCATGTATTCATGTATATCTGAATGTGTGTTTATATATACATATATATATATATATATATATAAATTAATACGTTTGTGAGTGAGTGTGCGTGTGTGTGTGTGTTTGTGTATAATGCTGTGTGCGCGTTTTAGTATTTGTTTGTGCATATGTTTGATTGTTCGTATAAATGTGGATACACGTCGTACCTCTTGAGCTGCTATCAATATCTGAAAATATCATTTGAGATTTGTCCCTCGAGTATTGGCGTGTATATGTATATTTGAATTTACGCTCGTAGATACCTTTAGTGGCTTTTTATATTTGTTTTCTGGCCCTATCCTTTCTCGCCCCTGCTTTTGGGTAGTTCCCTTATGCCTGTCATCGGTTGGCATCGCTTTACCTTTTTGTGCGCTCGGCCTTTCACTAAATCTCAAGTTTGTGTTGAATCGTTCAGGAGCAATCGGACAGGGAGATGACGATGCCTTTCGAGGAGTACCGCCAACTAAAGAAGAGTTTAAAGACAAGAGGTCGTATTTTTGGAGTGCCAACTGGATTCGGCTCAATGTTTGGAACATCGTTTGCTATTCTGTCGGCGAATCCAAATATAATGGAGCCGCCAGCCAATGTAGCTGACATACAGCTGATTATGTATGTCTTTGCCGATTATATTGCGCCGTATTTTATTAATGTTTTGTATCTGTTGTGAAAGAGTTTTGATGGATCCTTAATTCTACTTATGAGTGTCTGTTTTCGAGCTTATACTAGTGTAAAATGTATATTGAAAGAGAGTTTCGAGGTATATGTAATACGCGATCTTTGCCATGTGTGTACAGGTCCGTTTTGAAACACGGATCTTTAATCTCGTTGGTTTCGTATCGTTCGCTTTTACATAGCATCCACACTGATGAGACATACAAAAGGTGTTCACCAATATCATCATCTTGTGGTACCTATCGAATATGTGTGAACACTCAAGTTGTAATTTCTCGGGCTATATATACCAAGCCTTGGCGAGGCAAAATCTCACGCTCTAGGTTATCTATTATATTTTATTTTCCTATTAGGGGCATGGACCCAATGGTGGCCACCGTTCTGGCGACGAGTGTGATGGGAGGAGTTGGCTATGTAATGGGCGGTGCTATGTACGGACTTGTATGGAGGTTAATCAATGGCCACAAGGCCAGGCAAATAAGCTTGGTATGCAATTCGGTTTATTTCCCATGGCGTTAGTGTGATATATTCGGATGTTCAACCCGACCGTAACCGTCTTCGGAATGTGCTCGTCGTGAAACAAAAATATCGTTTGGACTGCAAGAAAGTTGTTTCTGATGACATGTTAGGTTTGCCCAATCATCTGCCCAGTCATCCGTGATTAGAGAAATCGGTTCGTATCGCACTAACTTTCCTTCTATGATCTTATGATATCCAACTTGCAGAGGGACGAAGACTTCTTAAACCGACTTGATAAATACCGATTCTCGGACGATCAGAAACAAGAGGACGATTATTACGGTGACAAAATTATAACGGTATGTTGCTAGCTGCTCATCGTTTTCTATTTAGTAGTGCATCGAATATTACTGTCAATTGAAACCATTTGGCATCTGTACGACTCTTCTTGCCACCAGAACACTAACCGAAACTGATAGAGTGCTTTGCGCTAATACTATTTCCAATCATCGCAGGTTGCCGATTACCGGGCGTGGCTCAAAGACCAAAATAAGAAGGCCAACAAGAACATGCTGGACTTCCAATGGCATAAGAAGCCAGCGTTTATGTGAGGCTGACGGCCACATCCAAGTAGTTACAGCAAATAAATAATCAAGAATTTGCTGCACTTCCAATGGCTTAAGAAGCCAGCATTTATGTGAGGCTGATGGCCACATCCAAGTAGATACAGCAGACAAATAAACAAGAATATGCTGGACTCCCAATGGCATAAGAAGCCAGCGTTTATGTGAGGCTGACGGCCACATCCAAGTAGTTACAGCAGACAAATAAACAAGAATATGCTGGACTCCCAATGGCATAAGAAGCCAGCATTTATGTGAGGCTGACGGCCACATCCAAGTAGTTACAGCAGACAAATAAACAAGAATATGCTGGACTCCCAATGGCATAAGAAGCCAGCATTTATGTGAGGCTGACGGCCACATCCAAGTAGTTACAGCAGACAAATAAACAAGAATATGCTGGACTCCCAATGGCATAAGAAGCCAGCATTTATGTGAGGCTGACGGCCACATCCAAGTAGTTACAGCAAATAAATAAGGTGCGACTTGTATATTAAGTCTGACTCTAATGAAAGGGGCACGGATGTTCTGCGAGCTACTTTCGTACACATGTCGTCCGCTAATACGCGCAGACATGGGAAACATGCATGAAGTAATGGTGTAACAAACGAATGGTCTCGTGTTGCGCGAAAGGGATCAAGAAACCGATTCGAACAATTCATATTCTTGGATTTTCTTCATAAAAGTGGTGCATATTAGAATAAATTGATTCGCGTAATGACGACAGCGGCTAGTGTCGCAGCAACTGTCGCAAGCAGTACTTTTTTTCGCAAAGTCCTACTGCTTTGTATCGTTTGCAGCCGTTGGTTTTGCAGATTATTCAGCACGAACACGATTTTCTGTTGTGAAGGAAGCGTGGTAAAAGATAAATAAACCCGCACGGTCATACACAAATAGACAGGATACAACAATTTTGTATATTAAATGCTCTGTAAATTTGTGTCTGTATGCACTATAGATACCATGATGTCTTCCGCATTTGAAGTACATGCATTCTGCATTCATAGCAGCCCTACCATTCGTATTTGAGAACAAGTAAATGCCATTGCTCGAACGAGTGAGTGTAAGGGTATAGCTCTGAGTGGTCTTGTAATTGTACGTATGCTAGATTGTTTTGGAATACTTCTATACGTGTTTTAACTGATATGCAGATGTATCTCGTGGGGTACACAATACGAAAAAAAAGTGAGGTACATATGTACACCAATGGTGTCACACTTATGTATACAGTTTTTTCCATGATGGGCCACGCGTACATATCACAAAGATCGACAGCTTTGCACTGTATATATTGTGGTATTTAAATAGACACCCGTGCAAACATGTATGTACGTATAAACACACAAAGTGTACCGAGTTTAATTTCGTATGTACACACGTTGATTCCGGCTGCAGTTATTGCTATTACTAGCATAAATGCATTTGTGCAAATACTAATACAATTGAACTACGCATGAATATGTATACGCATTTGTACGATCGTCCGCAATAATTGCAACTGTGCAGGGGAGCATCACAGCTACCACGGAATTGGCATAGAAGTAAGCTCGTGTATATATGGATACTTGCGTCGCCACCAATATAAAAATATACCAGAGAGGGCAAAAACAGATTGATCAAGAACTATGAAGGTCAATTTAGGAATAGGAGTCACATTTCCGTTGGAGTATATATCCAAACATACACGAATGCATTTGCCTTTCAAATGCGCACTTGGATATAGATTGAGTATAAGATTACCAACGATAGATTCATCACTTTCTCACTACAAAAGGTTGCAACGCAATATACGAAGTGTACGTACATATCGATTGCAATTAACAATCGAATCAACAGAAGCACCCAGCTTTGCCGTCGAACCGACAGGCAGTGGTCGTGATCCTGCAACATCCGCGGTCAAAACGGTCCACAAACTACACAGACCACTGCTTGATATTGTACCTGTACATTCCTGGACACAATCGGTCTGACCTTGTTGCGAACTATTGCTTTGTGTATACTCGCCACTGCATTTGGTGTTGGTGGAATGTATGAGATTACTAAAATTGCCGAAGATATGAGGTGAGATCAATGAATACTGGTGCAACGAGGTAGATGAACAAATGGCAACGACGTCAATAGACTATACAAACCTGAGTTTGACCTGGGTATCGGTTGCATCTCTTCGCTATATGGTGCAATCAATTCGCGTCTTTTGAGCCAAGGACAATCCAGCCATGACCAAGCCACAACATCCCAGCGCTTGAGTATCGAAGTTTGCACCTGCGGACAGTTTCAGACCATCAATCAAAATATGCGTATATATATATATATATATATATATATATATAATATTATATATATATATATATATATATATATATATATATATAATATTATATNTATNTNTNTNTATA